TACATTCCTAGTTGTATATCAAATGTTTGGTGTTGGACTACCACAGAAAGAACTTCAGAAAAAACTTGCTGTTGAACATAGGAATCACTGTTATATCACTGAAAATACAGGCACATCCTATGTTCATATTAACATACATAGTTATATGTAATATACATATTGGTCATACACGCTTGGACAGAAAAACCCTTAGTGAATTAACCCTAGCACACAGAATGCTTCGCATTTAAGTGTGTTCAAATATCCGAAAAAGAGGGAACCTAATTGCAACTGCATTTTGAACTCAGAGCATATAACTATGTTTATAAAAGCATGTAGCAGTCCAGGGTCCTGGAAATACAAATTCTTTCTTTCACACACTGTTAAGATGTCATTCAGGAAATGAACAGTTTTGCTGTTTCTGTTCAGCAACAATCTGTAGCTAAGACACAGGTGAGTAAACTAGATTTAGGCTGAAATTACTGTGATGTGATGCTTGACAGGGAGGAAATACCTCTCAGAGTCACTGGCTCTCAGGATTGGAGGGAATTAAATGCAGGAGGGAGCTCAGAGGGGGCTCTAGCTGAAGACTGAGTTAAATGGCCTGGAACTCAATTTACAAGTGAGTTAAAAAATAACAATTGTCCTCCCTTCTCCCCTGCTTTAATTGAAGTATTTTCTATCTGGAGGCCCCTTTTGAAATGCAATACTCCTGGGAGTGGTCACACCTTAAATTATCAGCTAACACTTTCAAAGAGATTAGCAGACAGCCAGCAGAGAGAAGAATTCGATTTAGGCAAGTGCCTGCACTGGAGGTAAGGCTAGGGCTGGGGGAGAAAGGTTAACTAGTCAACACATCTGTCGATTAGTTGCTAAACAGACATTTACTCACTCAGAGCATTTCAGTCTACAATCTAAGCTTCCAACCTCTGGATGCTATTATTCCACAAAAAAGATAAATGATTGCTCCTGCTTTGCTGTATTAGCCATTTCAGTACAATTTTCCCCATTATCCTGGAAGTAACTTGAATCATCCTGGGGTGTAAACAAACTAAACCTTAAATACAGTTGAAAATTATTGACTTTTTATTTCAAACATCTTTAAACCATCCCTGAGGAGTGTTTGTGCATGTGAGATCAGCCTTGTAAAAAATTGTAAATACATTTTAAGGTAAAAGACAGTCAACAAAATAGCAAGTATTGATAAATCTACATACTGAACATTCATCAGATTCCTCTAGTATTATAATTAAGATATCCTACAAAAACTGAATTGCTGAAGGAATAGAAATAAATTTCTTTTCTGTTTCAGGAATTTATTTTGTCTTTTTCTCATAGTTACAGAATTTTTTGTGCATGATAAAAACTTTTAAGATTTACTTTATTAGCAACTTTTAAATATGCAATACAGTATTATTAACTATAGTCACTGTGCTATACATTACACCCACATGCTTTAGGAGTCTACTTTTAATTTTTCTTATTACTCCGAATGTAGTATTTAGACATTCCAATATCTACTTATATTGATCAACTTAGGACAGAAGTCTGTCACAATGCTTACTTGGAACCATGCTACATAGAAAAATAATTTGTTGAGTTTTTCATACGTTTTCCTATAAACCTCCTAGAGGCAATGGAACTGAACAAGCTTTGCAAAGTTTAATTGACCTCTGTGGGTCTATAACTGTATTGGGAGATTCTGATGGCCTTAAGTATTGCCAAAAGTCTCCGAGTATGTGCTTTGTAAATACATATTTTTAGATTCTATCTACACTTCTCCACTTGTGATAGTGAGGAATATGTAGCATCAATAGATAATATCAAAAGTAACCTCTCAACTCCATCTGCCCATCGATTTTTATTTTCTATTGCCATAAAACTTTTTACCATTACTAATAACAAGTAACAAAACCGAGGTGAATTTTACTTTTTTTAAAATCAAATTAATGAACACTGGAGAAGTCAAAGTTATTAAAATTATCAAATGAATCATAGAATTATTGGAAAGTGATTGTTAAGAGAAAGTATGCTTGTTCTTCAAGCTTTAATCTGGCACACACAGGTGAGTTGCTTTTGTACACCAGGCACCGGATATGGAATGACAATGTGATACCAGACCAAAGTGGGGGTTCAGCTACCTGCTGCCACCAAAAGGCAAACTCTATTGGCTAAGGATAGTGAGAAAGGAAAAAAGGATTTTACTTGAATGTGAATGATCTGGGAGAATGAAGGAAAACCCCAGACAAAACCTACCTGTTCTCAGCTAAATCAAAACAAAAGGCACTGCTCAGAATTCCTGCTCCATTTTAAACATTTGAAAGTACTGTTCTTTAGAGCCCTAGACAGCTACTAAGCAGTCATGAAAACAGCTTAGCTCATTCCCAACTGCTGCCCAAATTCAGGCTCCCTCCTGGAGCCCGTGTGTGGTATTAGTGCCGCCACTGGCCATGCAGCTTCTGGAGTCTCAAGATCCTGTGCTCCAGAGATGGAGAGAGTGCGAACAGACCTGCAAGTACTCCACCAGGTCGGCTAGAGAGAGAGACTCTCTCCTGGAGGCCATGGGCCATGTGACTGCTAAGGTTACATGCCTTATGGAGAAGACAGGCCAGTGCACTGTTCAAGAACAGGTCCTGAGCAGCAAGCCACGAGGAAGAGAGAGATTTCTTTGTTCCCCTGGGTTTATATTACTGCCAGGTGTGGAATGGAGCAGGTTCTTTCTCAGAATGACCAATTAACTTTTTAAAGGATTGCGCGCTTTGCATGGGTCCACCTCCCAACGAACCACTTCCTTCCCCTGGCTAGACTGACAGGCCTCTTTGGTCCACCACCTCCCCCTTTTAACTTCTATCGTGCATTTGCAGGCCTTACCCTGTCTCACCCCCAATCTTGTCCCGGAGAGGGTAAAAAGGCTTTTTCCCCTCTTACCCAATTATCTTGCTAGCTGTGCACATGCTCCGTGTAAGAACTCCCTTCGTAGCCGTCTCACCCAGCAGTGGGAAAACAATACTGCCCCACCCCTGCTGCCTCTCCGTGGCCTCTCCGAGTGGTTTGTGGTCTCCCCCAGTGACCCCTCTTGTTTCCCATCCTCAGTCCACTCCCAGTGATCCAAGTAGGCTTTTTATCCATATCAAAGGGGAAGAGAAACAGCCATTGCCTTTCAAGACAGCATCAGGTGGCAGTTTGCAAACTGGGTCTGACTTAGGAAATAACTAACAACGTTGGAATTCTGTTGAGAAACACTGAACAGATTAGCAGACTTGGCTTATAATCTCGATGTTGCTATATACTACTTGTGTGGCCTTGGGCATGTCACTGAGTCTCTCTTAGCTCTAAGTCTTTGTCCCAGGAAATTTACATTTGGCCACAGATGGTTCTTTTCTGATCAAAATGTCTGATTCCATAGAAAAGTCAAGTCCAATGAGGAGAGAAGCTAGCACTTATGGCTAAAGCACCTGTCACTTGTCAGATGTCCATTACATCATTCAGACTTCCTTAGTCCTGGGTGTGGTTTGTCCCACAGGACTGTGTAGCTTCTAGTCTTTCTACCACATCCATTTTGCTGAAGGAGGAGTCTGCTGTGAGTTTAGGATCTTAACTGTTGAAAAAATATATAAGAGAAATATGTAATGAAGATCAACACAGCCCCTGGACTCACCTTCTATTTTACCTTGTTAGTAAAGAATGTCACAAAATTTATAGGGGCAGTAATTAAATTGATCTGATTCAAGTAAGGGTGGCAAAAATGGAAACAATCACTTGCTATTAGATTTGAACTTTAAACAGTTTTAGAGGAAAGTTCTATTAGTTAGCTGTAAATGTTATAAATCTATTCTGATTCCCCCAAAATCTTCCTGTGAAAATCTTTGTAGTATCACTAAGTCTTTTTTCTTAAGATTTATTGGTTTCCTCTTCCATGTGTCTCAACTGGGTACCAAACCCACAAACTAGTCATGTGCCCTGATTGGTAATCAGACTGGAGACATTTGGCTTTATAGAAGTTCTGCCAACCAACTGAGCCACACTGGTCAGGGCTTTATCAGTAAGTCTTAAAGAAAGTATTAAATGTTAAATAGCATGAAAAAATAAGTCAGAGAAACCCAGTTTAAAAAGGCCATAATTCAACCCAAAATGAATACGCTTGCTAACATGGGCTCATCAAAATGTATGATATGTATCTATAATGTCTGATTTTCAGAGCCTCACTCTGGTTCTGCCCCCACATCAATTTCTCAGTCTGCCAAGAGGAAAAGGCCTTCCTCAGTTACCTCAGTGAGGGGTGGAGGTAGAAGGGAACCTCAAATTCTCCATCTCCACATTTTCCTCATGTATGTGACAAGAAGCTGGGCTGATTCCGAAGCAACATTTGTTTGTGTGTTGTAAACAGTGAACTATTCATAAAAACATATACTACATTGAACCGGGATCTCTTTTGTTCAGCACCAAAACCCTCTGATGCCAGAAATAACAACAACCATATTAGCTCTTCAGTTTTGAGGTAATGGTTTACTAACAAGATTACCTTCTTCATTCTAGCAGATTTTTCTGCCAGGTGGAGAATGGAGATATGAGAACCCATGCTTAATTTAATGACCCCTGGACATTATAGTGATCTGAAAAAAATCACTGTTGTTTTGATGACATTTTTGACATTTGAGACATAAGAACAGTTCACAATGAGGACACCTGGGGCTCAGATTCAGCCAGCTGGGAGGACTTCATGAAGATAAACTGAGGAGAATAATCCACCATGCTGCAGTAAAAGGTGTGGATTTGAATCCTGGATTTCCTTCCTACTAGCTCTGTGGTCTTGGGCGAGTTTCATGATCTCTAAGTCACAGTGACACTAGTAGCAGCAAGGTTATTGGGAGGTCTACATGAAATGATGCATTAGAAGCATCTTAAACCACACCTTGATATATTAAGGGCATATAGTACATAACAATAGATAGATAGATAGATGATAGATAGATGAATAAACAGATAATTTTTTAGTTATTGCTGTTCTTACTACATTTCCAGGGCTGCCATAACAAAGCACAGTAGACTCAGGGCTTAAACAAGAGAAATGTATTCTCTCATAGTTCTGAAGTCCAAAATCAAGCTGTCAGCAGGGTTGGTTGGTTCTGCGGGCTGTGGTAGATGATCTGGTCCAGGTCTCTCTTCTTGCTTATAGTTGTCCATCTTCTCCTCACATTCCTTCATATCATCTTTCCTCTGTACATGGCACTGTATCCAAATTTCCTCTTTTTATAAAGATATGAGTCAGATTGGATTAGGACCAGCCTAATGACTTTATTTTAGTTTACTATTACAAATCTAATCTCCAAATACAATTACATTCTGAGGTTAAGATTTCAAGATGTGAATTTGCAGAAGACACAATTCAACCCAGAACATTGTTGCTATAAATTATAATTGTTATCATTACTATAATTATTATAGTCATTTTTTGGAGTAAAGTTCAGTCATCCCAGAAAAGTACATGATGTCTTTGAAGTTGGGAATTCTTATCCAATGCCTGGAATGTAATAGAAGCCTTGGATACGTGAATGAATGAAAAAGTGAATGGCGGATATCATTAAGGATCATATCCAACAGGTTTGGGGTAAGTGGCAGAGTCCCAGCAACTGGAGGAGTAAATTGCAAACATGAATAAGGAAGCCCATCAAGAGCCTACAGTTCTAAAACCATGGGAACAGAGGGACAAAGCAAGGATGTCTGTCACAGAGAAATTAGTGTCAGAAAGAAATTTGCAATAAAGCAAGCTTGATGCTGACCTGAATTCCCTTCCCACCTCCTCTACCTACCAGTTCTGTGACTGGGCAAATTAACTTCTCTGAAGCTCAAGGTCAGCCAAAGCTGAATGTTCTGAAATTGAAAAAAAAGATTCAATGGGGCAGTGTATATAAAACACCTAGCTAGAGCCTACCCATCATACGCACACAGAAAATGTTAGGGTTCTTTCCTTTCCTGGAATTATACAATGTTCCACTATTCTCTACCCTTCTGATGGCCATAGGCAGCCTAGTGATCACCATAGGGAAAGCTAGAGAAGACCTCAGGGCATTCCTCACTGAGAAGGCTGGCTGTAAAGACATCAGCACAGGTAGAAACCAAAGCTCACAGGAGACAGCCAGGTCATCCATCTCTGTCTCCTCAGAATCTCCTGAGGAAGCCTTCCCAAGAGGTGACCCACAGGAAATGTCCTATTTTGAATTAGGTTACATTGTTATCGAGTTGATAGTAAAGGGAAACAAAAGCTTCCTGGGAGGGGAATAGAATCAATGGATATTTGATTATACTTAAGGAATTCTTTTTGGTCTTGTTTTGTTTGATTTTAATATAAGAGGAAATCTGTTTTATCTCAAATGCCAAACTAATTTTCCTAAGAAATTATAATATTACTTAATACGTACCTTAATACTTGTGATTGAATCACAACTGAAAAATGTGGAAAAAGGATATCCTTTTATAATATCAATGGAACAGACACACGGTCTAATTCAAAATGCTTAATTCAATGTGCCAATTATAAATATGATTGTAAGTAGCCTGTGGGTTACTTCTGCTTTTCTTCTTGTTTTAAAGAGTACTTGGAAATTCTCATAGACGACAGCAAATTCAGGTAAACAGATCATTGACACATGGACCTTGATGATTAATAAAAAGGATTCTAAACCAGAAGGTCTTTGGAAAAAGAGGAAAAATCAAGGGCAGGGGAAAATGCGGTGAAATTCTCCTATTGATTTGGCAAAATAGCACTAATTGTTCCTGGAACTTGATTCTGAGTTGATGGTATAGACACACATACACATACATTTACTTATATAATAAGCATATCTACATATCTTATATATATATACCACATGTACACCTTATATCACATATATACACTATACTAATGATAATTTATTTATACCAAATCTATTTCTTAATACTGTAATAACATCTTCATATAGTCACCATTTAATGGAGATATAGTAACACAGTGTTCATAACCAGAGCAAAAAGACTTTTTTTATATTTACATTAAAGGTTTTTTTTTACTTAAAATTTATAGCTGGTCTCTCATACACAGCAGGAATTGAGTATTTCACAGTTCTTAGTATAATTTAATTTTAAAAATAAACAGTAAAAGAGAGAGACTATTGCTTTTGTAGAAGAAAATTAGTACTTTGCATGATATATGTAAAAAATGTTGGAATTCAAAGCAAGAATTTTCTTGTAGGGCTAACAGGTAAATTGGCAATATCCGTGTTAACAAAGGGTCATTAACTCCTTGACCACATTCTGTTTAAGGACTTTTTGTAAGGCACCAGTCATGGCATTTTGAAGGGTCCAGTGATGTCATCGGGAACCATCTAGCTCCCATTGCAACAGTTATCCACCATGTTTAACTCATCATCTCAGAACTTGTCAGGACACAGAATTGCTCCAACCAGAGTCAAATGCGAGAAGCCAGATAACAACAACACAGCCTTCAGAAATCAGCCCTGGCATCTGAAACACAGAGTAACCCAGAGTAAAGTTCAAGTTTTCTGTGAATTGGCAGCAGGCATGACTCTGGAGCAATTTTGCAGACTACCTGTTCACCTTTAGCTAGTTGTCGAAAGGGTTAATTTTACTATTTTACTACCTGTTGAAGATAGTGCCTGATTTTGTTCCACATATCCGAATGAACTTTTAAAGCCAGAGCACAATCGCCTGGACACATTTCTACTTCCTTCTACCCGTGAGGTATTCACAATCAATTCAGCATGGCCCTGGGGGTATGGAAGAAAAAGAAAGGACATAAAACACCCCTTCTCCTTTCAGGGCAGATGGTATGACAGGAACGATACACAAAACAGAAAAGAGTTAATAAACGCATTCTGGTTTTCAGTTTGTTTTTCAGCTACGTACCCTGGATGGAGCCAGCCTTTGTCCTTCAAGGTATCCACTGAAGGGAAAGAGCTAAATAAACCAAGTGACATAGCGTTGTGCTGATAGCAGGACACTGTGGGTTTCAGAAATACAGAGAAGAGGAGGTTGGAGAGCATTGGAAGGGTCAGGGGTGCTCCCTGGAAAGGAAAGTTCTCAGCAGGGCTTTGAAGGAGAGGTATGGTCCATGCAGACAAAAGGGAGAAGGGTGGACTTTCTGAGTGCCCCCAAATCTATGTGCCAGTCTTCCCCATTTTCTCACTAGTATTTGTCAGCATCACCTATCCTTAAAATTCTGTGCAAATGAAAAACATTAAAAGCAGTTCAGCAATTGAAGATAATTATTTCAGTGGAAGAGGTTTTTGTTTTTTATAACCTCTTCTTTGCATAGGGCCAGCTAGCTTTTGCTACATCTGCCACTGATAGTCTTTGCTCTGTTTACTTTAAAGAATAAGCCACCATTTGATTTAGTTCCTCATTTTCAATATGTAAACCCTGGACTCTACATTACAGGAAGGAGAAATAAAACAAGTCTCTAAAAGCAGAGCAATGGTTGCTCACAAATACACACAGCCTCAATACTTTATAGAACAGTCACTTAGGAAAATGCAGAATTTCCCAGCTGGCAGACTGGGTTCGGCAGGTGTACCTTAACTGAACCAATCACTTTGTATTCGGCTGTCAGTTCTCTTGGTTCTTCCGGCTTCATTGCAGCAGAGTGTGTGTTTATTTCTAAAGGTTGTTCACCTATTCCATGGTTCAAAGGGATCATGTGTTCACTTAAAGTGTCACTGTAAAGATATATGACGATATAGCTAAGGAAGATGAATTAGAAGTGTAGATAGGTAAAACTAATAAGGAAACCTAGAAAGATAAATCACAAAATACAAAAAAAATGAAAATTAAACAGAAAGATTGTTCTTTATTTAAAAAAAAAGAATGAAAAAGCTAAAATTAAACAAAGCAAATCACCTGTACAGCAAGCCATACTCTAAGAGTTTTACTATGCACTATAGTAAAAGAGTAAAAGTGTATACTATACACTATAGTAAAAAAATTGTAGTTTTAATCACAACTGCTATAAATACTTCATTTATTATTGTTATTCATATCCTACATTAGCAGCATATTCCTGTTGCCTGCTTAACTAATTTGGAGCAAATAAAAGTGATGGAGTTGTGATGGAGTCATCAATTGAGTTTCAGGATTTACATGACTAAATGAACAGTGAGTGTCTCACCCACTTCCTTGGGTTGAGGTGAGGGGACTTAATGAAACAACTGTAAATGTATTACTTCCTCCAGTCTCACTGGTCTGCCCACTTCTAGTGAACAAAAAACTAGATAGTGGCTCTCCACAGTCTATTTTTTATCCAGAGAAGTCCGTTTTTGTAGCAAGGATGAGCAAAACTTGTTTAAAAAATAACAGGTTTATTAGTTACGATTATGTTTGATGGAAACACTGCTTAGCCAATGATGCATCTATTTATGTTCAGATAAAAGTTGTTGCTGTTACATAGTTTTTACCACATTAAAATGTTCTGTTTAAATGAGATTTTTATAATAATATTACTATGGTTTTCAAAGATGTTTGGCCTGTAGAAATGCTCTAGTTTACAATTTATATGCTACCATCTACCTGTATTTAAGGAGGCTACAGGATAGAAAGCATAATTGCTTGGGAGCTGAAAAGTATCTGAATAAACATCACTACTGTGTCATACGACTTTCAAACGTGAGTCCTTTTTGAGTCTGATTTTTCTCAAATGTGAAAATGGGGGCAACATGGGCGACAGCAGAGCTCCAGCAACCATGGAATTCATACACATGGAAGGGCTTAGCACACTGCCTGGCACCTGACAGACATTAAGTCCAGGCTAATCAGCTCCCTCCCATTTAGAAACCTCTGCATTGTTCCAATGACAAACACTGGCACTGACAGGTGTGCGTCTGGACCTTTCAGCAGGTGTGGCAGTGCTGAAAGCAAAAGACAGACATCAGTATGTCTGTATTTACCCGCAGACCGACAACCCTTGGTGTGTCTCATTAGGCTTACCCCTGAAAATCTAGACTAGGAAGCTCTGCTCTGACCTCTCGCTGTGAATGCAGAGCTGTGGTTGTGAATGCAAACGTGGGGGGCGCATAGTTTTGGAGGCAAGCTACCAACCTAGCTCTTCCTTTTATTTATGTTTTCAAATGAAAGTGGGCCCTGTTCACAAACATGGCATCAACTCCTGGGACTGTACCAAACAGACCTCTTGCACAAACCAGAACAAACTACACTAATTTGCTGAACCCTGAAATGGAGCCAAATTCTAAGCTTTTATTTTTGAAACTACAAACAGAACTACAATTTTTTAAATGCCAGGAAAATAATATCAACAAGATGTTACTACAGGAAACAAGTCTGAAATCTTTTTCAGTGTGAAAATGCTATAGGTTCCTTCCTCTACTTTGTAAAGTTGCTAACTTCATCATTAAAACAAGAACTTAAGCAATCTAACTGACTTTAAGTTGAGCCATCTTTTATTTACCCTAAGATCTCTCAGTCAAGTGGAGATACAATCAGTGTTATCAATTTAGGTATTTCTATGGCATCTACTCCTGTGACACATTAAATCTATGTCTCTATAAGAGAAGCACATTGATTTTTTTCTTCCGCAGCAGGATTTTATATTTTTTTACTCCAAGAATAGCTGAGGGCTGCAAAAAGGAACAGCTGGCCACATGGAAAACCGTGCTTGGTTGATAAGATAGTTGAAAAGAAAAATCACCTTATTGCACATCCTAAATAACTGTCAAACGAGGTCACGAAAACTGTTTGATTGAACCACACCAAAATATTTAATGTATCAAGTTTTCCAAACTTCACAATAACTGCCTCACCCAATGCCTGGGCTTAAGCTTCAACCTTCACTTCATTCCTTCATTTATAAAGCTGGGCCTGTGACCATGCAAGCAGTCGGGGCAGCATGTGTGTAGATCCACTCAGTTACTATATTGACCTCATAACAGTCTTTATAATTATTGACCTGATTATAACTAAGACATAATTAATATAAAATATAGAATGCTGGGTATTAGATGCTTTAAGATATGGTTCAAGCACTCAGCCAACCCCTTGAAACCTGAATATGTCTAAGCAATTTTGTAAATCCTGGAAAAAAATTGTCAGGTGTCAGGTGAGAAAAGAGATTTGTCTCACTAAAGAAAGAACATTTTCTTGACCTGAGACACCAGAAATACAGAAGAGCCTGTCTCTACTCTGCAGTGATGAGTACCCTTAGCCTTGAACAGCAAACTTGCAGATTAATGAAAATAGTAGAATATATCACATTCTCCTGCCTCCAGGTATAATATTTTATTCATATAAGAGCCATGTGAGCCTTGATTTATATGGACTTTCATTAATAGGCAATAGTCAATCATAAGGTTTCCTCTTGTCACCTCCAGTCTTCCTTAAATTCAACACCCAGTCAAATGGTGATAGGTATTCCCTCTTTCTCCGGTAAATACCTCCCCCACCCCACAAAAAAATAAATAAAAAGGGGGGGAAGGAAAAACAAGCAAGTGAGAAAGGTGGCCAGACAAAATGTTTTGCAGTTCAGTGTAGTTACTTACCTTGTTTCCCCACCCTCTGCAGGTGTCTAATAAAACCTCAGAAGTGACCATCATTCAGCTGAACCTATGCTGGTCAAAACAGAGTCCTGATTTCAACAGTCACAGAGATACAGCACTAGGTCTGCAGTGAGCTATTTTAAAGCTTCTCAGAGAAGTAAGGTGCAGTCTTCATGGCCGTGTCAGATATTCAGAAATTTGTGATTTATTTTCTCCATATATTGTGAGTGTTTTCCATTAGTCCCAAAATTTTAAGAAGTTCCAATTGTCCCCAAAGAGAAAATAGATTACATATTGACTATTATTTGTACTCTCAAGTGTTGGATTTCATTAGGTTCAGAACATCCATACATTCATTCTTTCATTCATTCATTTGCTTCAGAGCCATATATATGACAATAGTGGAATTGCAGGGGAGGCACTGTATAAAAACCACAAGGAACCCCTGAATTGTGACTCTTTTTAACTTTCTAAAGCATTAAAATGTTCAAGTACATACATATATCTGCTAAGAAAGGAAGTGGTATGCTCAGTCTCCTCGTAGGTTATGACAGGACAATAGGACTTCTTGGGCTTTGAGTCCAGTATTTGAATATTCAGGCTATTCTAGGTGAAGTGCTTTCCAATGACACTGCAACAGGACTCTCCACCCACCCAAATGCAGCTCTGGTCTGATGGAAGCAGAGGTGGGGTGAGGGCAGAGAAACAAGCAGAGGCTGCCCACCCTGAAGCAGAGCTGTGGCTGTCAATCCCAGAGAAAATAGAAGAGTCAACCTTTCCTTATGCAACTTCTGAAGTTAATTTGGTGCTTAAAATTGTAGGGGCATCAAAACATGGATTACCTGAGGTTGCCTTTGCACTAACAAAGGCATTCTTCAGTGTGGTGAATCGGTGTGATGGCCCAGGGCCCAGAGCAGTGATTTGAGAAAATCACCCATGGCAACAATTAGGCAATGGGTCCTCAGTGACTGCCAGAAATCTCACTGAATATTGGAGGGAAAGAGAATTTATATGTAATCCAATTTAGAACAACAACAACAACATCAACAACTTAATGTTCTGTATGGGAGAAATCTAGCCCAGGTCCAAAGAGTTGGCTCTCCAGCTCTGCCTGCCGTTCATCTCACAAAACTTAGTTTTATTATCTGTAAAATTGAATATCTACCTCACAGGCTTTATGAGGATTCAGTGCCAGCGCATAAATGCTTAGCTAGTAATAGTTACTGTAATCATTATCCTCCAGTTTGCTGTGGCAGATGGGAGTCCACAACTGAGGAGCAAAGGACAAGTTCTTGACCCACCCCTCCTCTCAAACAACTGAGTATCCTAACATTACCCTAATATAAGCTTCATTAGGACCTCTCTGTAATGGATCTCAGAGGAAAGACCTGAAGGAAAGATGGGAACAGACACAATTATCTGTCCTGGCTGATGTGGCCCAGTGAGTTGGGCAATCATCTGACAAACCAAAAGGTTACTGGCTTGATTCCAGGTCAGGGCACAAGCCTAGGTTTTGGACCAGGTCCCTTGGTTGTGGGTGTACCAGGGGCAGCTGCTCAACGTTGTCTTCCCTCTCTTTCTCCCTCCCTTCCCTTCTCTCTAAAAATAAATTAATAAAATCTTTTTTTAAAAAATAGGAATGAAATTTTAATCTCACAGCACCCTTTCAAACCTGTGAAAACCTAAAATCTTGGAGAAAAAATTGTGAGAGCCACACAAAAATGAACCTTAACAGACGGAAGGAGTGCCAGGCATTTCTGACTAAGGGAGGCAGATATTCGATTGGTGCTAAATGGATAAGTACTCATTAAACATTTGCCCCATTTTCCAAGGAAGAACCTCGGCTCTCCCATGAATGGACCAAAAGGGTGTGGTCGCTAGTTAAGGAACAAGAGATGGGTGAGAACAAAGGATGGTGTGGGTATCCTCAACTGGGCCTACCCATTCTAAGGAACCACCTTCACTGGGAAAAGTATGAAGAGACAAAGCAAGTTCCCTTAATATCTAACTATCTTTTATTCCACATATTTTGTGTGGCGGGCAACACGCTGGCTGTTTTAAACTGGTCATGTTTCTAATCCCCATATTAAC